GAACGGCCACTTCGACGTCGTTAAGTGGCTCCACAACAACAGAAAAGAGGGGTGTACGGAAGATGCTATGGAGTGGGCTGCTAAAAATGGCCGTCTAGAAGTCGTCAAGTGGTTACATGCGCATCGTGGAGAGGGCTGCATGGAGCATGCGATGGATAAAGCTGTCGAAAACGGCCACCTTAATGTCGTCAAGTGGCTGCATGAACATCGTAAAGAGGGATGTTCCGCGTCTGCGATGGACGTGGCTGCTGGAAACGGCCATCTTCACGTCGTGAAGTGGCTTGACTACAACCGCGCCGATGGATACCCGGAAGATGCGATGGACGACGCTGCGGCAAACGGCCACCTAAACGTTGTCAAGTGGCTTTACGAAAACAGAGACGAGGGACGCTTGGAGCATGCGATCCACTTGGCTATTCTGAATGGCCACGACGTGGACCAGTGGTTTCCGCAAGACCCATAAGTATTGTATTGGGGCGCTGCTTGAAAAGGATCCAAGTATAAATCGACTTCATTAAATGGTCTTCTCGTCATTTTTGACGCGTTGGACAGCTCTCCACAGCTAGCACAAACGCGAAGGAAAATTTCATCCACCTTGCAGTAAAAGGCTGCGCCATTCATATTAGATCTAGAGAGGGACATTGAATCACGACTACTATACCTTGAACGTCAGGTGCCAATAGTCTCTTTGTTGATTTTTTCGGCAGCTTCTTCACATTTGGGCAACCTTGAGCGACGCGGTTTCTTTGTTTGGTTTCCGTTGCACTACGTAGTCTTGCCAGCATTTCTTCAGCTTCCAAATTGCCTAATGTCGGCTTTAGACACATCCTTCTCTTCTTTATGTGTTGGCGGTCGCCATCTTGCAAAGCCGCGATCAGTTTACGTGCTCGCTTCGCAGATTTTGCTGTCTTGGTCACCATTCTTGAAACGAATTGTAGAAAGATTTATGAATCTTTGTTTTTGTTCCTTCAAACTATCATTAAAATGCAACGGGTCAAATATTAAAGAAAACGGAGATTGAAGTAATACGTTAT